TGAGCAGCGAGTACAACTGCTGTGAAGCCAATATAATTTGAAGTTGTAATTCTAACTTCCTCTTGTCTAAAATCTGTCTTCTTTTTTGTAAATCCAAGACAATATTTCAGTTTTCCAGTTGTCTAGCACTCAGACAGATATAAATACCCTTCTTCTTTATCATCCTGTGGGATACATTTTAAAACTTGATAAAAGTCAGAAAATAAATTCATTTTAGGTCAGTCTCCATACTGCTACATGAATCAAAATATTTTTTTTCATTCTGTTCATGTTCTAGATACCATACTCCTCAGCATCTCCTGGGAATTATGTAGTAAGTACATTTGGGTTTGTTTGCTCATAAGAATTGATGTTACGTTTTATTTGGGCAATGAAATAGTCGTCCAGATGTTAAGAAGAGCCCTTGTGTATTGGCCAAGAAGTGAACATCTGATTTGTATTGAGTTGTTTTGTCTACCAACCGCAGTACATATGTTGATGTTCATTAGTGAAACAATTATCAATCTGGCCAGAATTGCCCTAAGTACTGTGTTTTACTTCAGCATATGTTTCTGTAACCAGTATAGTACACTCTGTCGAATCATGAAGAGAGCCATCCCCAGTCACACAATGATATGCTTGAATTTGCAGTTCTCCAGGAGAATAATCTATACCCCCCTCCCCTACACCACTTTCCCCACACGAAGTCTAAAAAGACATTACACTTTATCCCCATCACGAAGTGAATAAGACAGCAGAATAATGACTAGTAATTTGGAGGGAAACTTCTAGTGTTTTGTCATTCTTAGAAATTCAGAACACTTATTTTGCTTTATTATTTAGCATGTGTTAAATTTTTCCAATAATTTATATAGACCTGAAGTCAAGTTAGCAAGTTTTACATGGCCTCTTGAATTTGCAAATGGCCTTTTAACCATTATTACATTTTAATCCTTGCTACATCTCAGGGCCAATACTTGTTAAAAACAATACTTAGGGGGAAATGCCTAACAGAGAAGCAAGGATGAAGTAGTAAAAAGGGAAATCTTCCCTAAGGGAATTTTTGGAGATTTGTGACTAACTGGAATAGGGAAAAAGGAGTGCTTGAGAAGAGTATCAGTGAATATTCTATCTTCAGTAAAAAAGTATTTTATTACCATAG